CACGTGATCTTTGATTCTATCCAGTGGTGGGTTATGGACAGTACGCCCTGGTACGGGTGTACCAGTGCCTGCTGGGAGCACCAGATACCATTCTGGTATGGTGATCCGGAGGGCCCACCGGCCCCCACCCGCCCTCCTTATCTGTATTTGACCCAACTGGGCCATTTGTGCACGTGCACGGAGCATACGGCACCTGTGCGATGCTTCACCGAGCAGCTGAAGCATTGGCAGTGAGTGCGCACACACAGCGCACGTCCATGTTATGGACGCCCAGCCTCATCGCAGCGTACTGGGTGCAATGGGATCTGGAACCCACCACTGATTCTATCCCTATGTTTATGCAGCCTAAAACTGTGTTGGCTTTTTTGGCAGCTGCTGCACACTGCTGGCTCATATTTAAATGGTTGTCCATAAATTAATGGAGTTTGCAAACCTTTAAACTTACAGTCCAAAAGAGAGAGAAAGTAGTTTCATGGAGAGAATTGATAACTGTCAAATGTCTTACTTAAGAGTTTTTTATATATTGAAGTACTACAAGAACATTTGGGGAAAAGCTATCCCAAACATTAACATGCATGAGTTCATGGTCCCATTTATCTTCATTTCTTTTCTACAGAAGTTGGAGGCCCTACATCTCTGTCCACACAATGATAACTATTTTCTGCATAGATTCCTAATGTAGTAGCTATATAGGCAGCCCACGTCATAGCCTCTTTGTGTCACACAGTAAAACAAATGAGATAATTTTAAAGTCAAAACATTAAATCGATACCAACTTGAAATATCTCTGGCTCAAAGGGGCAGGTTTGAGGAAATGTGTCCTTAATTTATTAAGGTAAAAGCAAAAATTAGAAATCAATGGGAACTGTGGAACAGCTTGGAAAGATTCTTGACACTATAGAAGGTTGATTGATTAGTAGACAGCTTCTCATCAGAAAACATTGAATGGAGGATACTTAGAATATAACTGTTGCAATGTTGAATACCAGTCACTCTGTATGGTGTTTTCATGAAAATGTGGATGAAATTTCTGATTTGTATGTGTGTGACTCAAAATGAAACAGCTTCTTGAATATGGCTTCTTTCCACATATTTCCGAAAAAGAGGACACCAGTCTTCCAAAAGGTACAGTAACAGAAAACTGTTTCTTAGTACAAATGCTAAATATTCAGGAACCTGCCTTCTGAACTCTCCTTCTGCAACAACATACAAGATTTCTACCTACCAAGATTCTTGATGGCTATTTTGTTCTCCTAAATCAAATAGAAGAAAATCCAGTTTTTAGGAAATACAGGAAACTGCCCTTCCCTCTAAATTATGTCCTTAAATCTAAAAAGCATTTTATAGAAGGAAATATGAATCATCTACATTTAAAAATGTTGTAATATGAAATTTTGTCTTGCTGAAGTCTACATAAAGCATAATAGACATTGCTATCTATGACTATTCTGCCAGGCAAGTACATCCCTCAGTCAAAGGCAAAGAGCCAAAGAGTTGTGTAATAATTTTGTCTTCACTTGTTCAGAAGTTCAGCCAAGCCTTGTACCATCATTAGCAGGATATTCATTATGCCTCTCCCATGTTCCCTGAATTCTAGTGTAGAAATGTATAACTTATGAAAAACCCTATCTGGGTTAGGTTAGCTTTCTGATCTGGCATTTCTTTCTCTAAGTACCGGTATTAAGAAAAATCATAATAAATCTTGTAATGTTTACATCTTGCAACAAAAGGAATTTTGCTATGCATCTAGCCCCAATTTATCTACTGTAATTCATGTAAATTGCCTGGCAAACCCTTTTAAAACACATGAAATCACCCTTTTATTCATGTAAAAGTAATTATCAATATTTGGACATAATTTTCAACATAGAACCATTTTTCAAAGGCTGCCAGGGAGAGAGGGGGGAGGGGGGTGTTTCCTTTTTTGATGGTAATAGAATGTCCAGCTTTGCTGCTGATAAATTCATGATGGGATTCTTTCACAGCTCTATATGTGAGGGGAGAAAGACACACATTACCTTAAGCTAATAGGCTCCCTTATTACATTTTACTTTGCTGCTATGAAACAGAAATTGTTTGATTATCTAGGTCAGAGGTGGGTTGCTGCCGGTTCGACCTGGATTGGGCGAACTGGTAGTAGCGGCGGTGGGAGGTTCCGCCCCCACGCTTCTGTGCATGCATCCATGAGAGAAGCGGTAGTAAAAATAATAGAAACCCACCACTGATCTGGGCATATATTATCAATAGTCCTCAAAGTATAGCCACAATTGGGGCTGGAACTTCAGTTGCTAAGCAATTAGTCGTTAAGTGAATTTCACCTGATTTTACAACCTTTTTCACCATTGTCAATAAGTGAATCACATGGTTGTTAAGTGAAGCTGTCTTTCTCTTTGAGTTTGCTTGTGGAAAGCCCCCTGGGAAGATTGCACATGGCGATCACGAGACCACAGGACACTACAGCTATCATAAATACATATGGGTTGCCAAGTGCCTGAATTTTGATCATGTGACTGCAAGGACATTGAAAAAGTTGTATGTGTGATGATTGAGGGAAAGTGACTTTTCACAAATGGTTGAATGGTTTTTAAATAAATGGTTATAAGTTGAAGACTGCCCGTACAGGGCTGCAATTGTTTTGTCATAAAAACAAGAATTCAGAAGCATATTATA